AATTAATTGGTTCCAGCATCCAGAAAGTTCCTAGGATTCCCATCTTGAGCCTTATTGGCTCACAGAGGTTCAGCAAATCAGAGACCCGCCTAGCAGCTCCACTGGCTTTGCTCTCCAGGAAGAACTTCCCTTCCCAGCAGGTCAAATTATGTGGCAAGATGGCCTCATGGCTCCAGGCCCACTTCCAAGTTAGCCTAGCAACTCCTGAGGCTTGTCATTGGTTAGATCTGGGCCCTGGGTCTAAGTCTTAACCAATCAGAAAGCTAGGAATGCGCTGCTCTGATTGGTCACATTCCTCCCTTACTTCAAAGTACAGAGAAGGGAGGTGCTTTTCAGAAAAATGTTGCTCGCTGACCAGAGGGAGATGTCTGAGCTGGCTGTCTCCAATCCCCCCTCCCTGTTCTGCAGCTGTGCCTTTTTTTTTTTAAGTCCAAAATGAGGAGATTTAACTTAAAGCTGGGGGATATGGTGGTCTTGTATAGAACAAAGCCCTCTTGTGCCTTTGGCCATGCAGAAGAAAGTAACTGGATGCTGTCATAGGTTCCCTCCCCCAGCACCCCCTTCCCTGAGTCTGGACACACATCTCCAATTCTGGAAGTGTGTACAGATTTAGTCTCTGTTCTTTTCCAATCTTGAGTTTAGCACAGGATCCATCCATGGTTGCTGCATCCTATACTAAGTGGATAAGCCCAGGTTAATTTCTAATTGATCTGGGCTGGAGCTGCCTATTGGCTGAAGGTGTGCACAGAAATGTGAGCTCTAGGGAACTGTAGCCAGGTCTCAGCAACCCTATCCCTCTCCTCACCAGCCTTGTCTCGCACCAGGCTTCCCTTATCTGTTTGGGTGTTGGGGTGTCCTTAAAAAGTTGGTTACAAGTGGTAATAGGCAGTTTGGAGGGTCTTTGAAACCTGTCAGGCATTGGGCACTAGTGTGACTCATGCCTGCTATTCGAGCTGCTCAGAAGGCTGAAGTCTAGAGGATAGAGGTTCAAAACCAGCCTGGGAAGGAAAGTCTGTGAGACTTTCTCCACTGAACCAATCAAAAGCTGAAGAAGTGGAGGAGCTGTGGCTCAAGGTGTAGAGGGTCGACCTTAGGAAAAAAGAAAAAAAGCCAAGTGAGAGCCTGAAGCGCTGAGCTCAAGCCCCAGTACAAGCGCACACACACAACAGAGCCAGTCAGGGCCTCAGGTTAAGAGAGAGAACTCCGCAAGTTTGTACTCTGCGTGGACTTGCTTCTCTGTAACCTTTGTATCCTGGCTCCTGTCCTGACTTTTCCACCAACAGTTAGAGCCAGGGTCACATAGAAAGCTAAGCAAAAGCGCCCCCAACTTTCATTCCTGAGGCATGGCTCAAGTGGTAGAACACCAGCCTTGAGTGAAAAAACTGAGACAGCACCCAGGCCCTGAGTTCAAGCCCCAGCACACACACACACACACCACAAAAAAAGAGCTAGAGAGAGAGAACAGAAAGAAAGAAGGGGGGAAGGAGGGAGGGAGAGAGGAAGGAAGGAAGGAAGGGAGGGAGGGAGGAAGCAATCCACCCTCTCACCCAAGGTGAATCAATGCTTTATGCTCTGTACCTAATGAAAATGTGCAATGAATAAAACTCACAACCCCCAAGACAAGCTACGCCAGACCAGTGGGCTCTGGTAACAGGAAAACTCCAAACTTTTAGGCCAGGCTATTGTGTTGCCTTGGCAATCTGCTCATCCTCCGCTTCACATTCTTCTTCCTTCATGTACACGTGGCACCCAAGGCTGGGCTGGGTTCTCCAGTCCACACATGAAGTCATAGTCCCAGCATTTTCTCACCCTAGCCCTCACTCTGCACAGCCACCTGTAATTTAAACCCTTCCAAATTATTTATCGATAGCTCATTTTGCCAGCTCAGTTTTGAATAGAAATGTCCAGCAAAGCTAGTCATATTGACTTTTTTTTTGTTTTTTGTTTTTTTTTGGTGTGGGTATCAAGGCTTGAACTCAGGGCTTGCTTTTTCTCTCAAGGCTGATGCTCTACCACTTGAGCTGTGAGCCACACCTCCACTTCTGGCTTTTTGGTGGTTCACTGAAGAGTCTCATAGACTTTTTTGCCTGGGCTGGCATTGAACAGGGATCCTAAGTCTCAGTCTTCTCAGTAGCTAGGATTACAGACATGAGCTAGCAGCCAGACACAAGGTCAGTGGGGTTTGTTGCTGTTGTTGTTGTTTTAACTCCTAAGGCAGCCTAGGAAAATAAGACATGGCAATTGGCTGCCAGGGATTGAAAGACTCAAGCTTAAAGCTTGTCCATCTACTTCCCTTAAGATTAAAGGAACAAAGTCATTTAGGGGAAAATGAAACAAGATATTATAAGGAAACTGTGGCTTGGTGAAGGCAACTTAGAAATAGGGTATTTAGAAACATAGAAGTGCTGTCTTTGTTTCAAAGAGAGACAACAGGATGAATTCCTTCCTAAAGGATGCATTCCTCACCCAGGGATTAATAACTGCATTTCCCACCCAAGGATTAACAACTGATAGGATGCCCCAAAATGCAGATAGCAGGGCACCTCCCTGTTTCAAGGATAAGCATCTGTTTTTATGGCAAGATACATTCTTACCTGGAAACTCAGAGGATAAGACCAGGTGTGGTTAGAGCAAAGACAAAGCACCTAGCTTTGCATAATTGGAAGCCAGACTCCCTGCCTTTACCCTATAAATACCCTAACAGACCAAGGAGCCCAAGGAGTCTCTCTTTGGATGTCTGTGTGTGTGTGTGTGTGTGTGTGTCCCAAGGAGTCTCTCTTGTGTGTGTGTGTGTGTCCGTGTGTGTGTCCCAAGGAGTCTCTCTTGTGTGTGTGTGTGTGTGTGTGTCCCAAGGAGTCTCTCTTGTGTGTGTGTGTGTGTGTCCCAAGGAGTCTCTCTTTGGATGTCTCCGTGTGTGTGTGTGTGTGTGTGTGTGTCCCAAGGAGTCTCTCTTTGGATGTCTCCCTGTGTGTGTGTGTGTGTCTCCCTATGAGAGCACCTACATTCTGCTAGTGTGCCCCTGCCCTTCTGTTTGTCTGCTTTTTTTTTTTGTCGTTTTTCTGCTTGCCTGCTTGTTTACTTACTCAATAAAGCTCTGCCAAGTTTTCTTACCATTGTGACTTGTTCAGAAATACTTATTCTGCGATTGAAGTCAAGGACCCTGAGTGAAGAGTATCTATACTGAAAGAGAAGCTCCACTAAACCTCATCTCTGTCTGGTGACACTGCCATTCACAAATAGGAGCCTCTTCTCAAGGCAAAGTGTGGAGGAGGGGGATGACCTCCTGAGTCAGGAGAAGCAATGGACATAGAGCCAGCAAGGAGCTGAGCGGGGTAAGGACCCAATGGGGGGGGGTTCTTTGGGGCCAGGACAGACTGTGGCGTGGTCTGATGATCAATAATTTGGAAGGGTTAAATCAGGGGCGGCTTCAGGGAAAAATCTCCTGGAGCAGAAAGGCCAAGCTCAAAGAATGAGTCTGTGGGGGAGGGGTCGGCATGGGGTGAGCACATGGAAGGCCCCTGAATAGTAGAATGAATGAGTGAATGAAAGAACGAATGAATGAGAAGCGCGTGGCCGGATGAATGTGCGCTCGGCCAGCAGTAACAGCTGTGGCATAAAGCCCATGAGAGGCTCCATGAGAGGAACCAGGCACTTGACCTTGGGGACATCCAGGCCCTGGATTCAGGGTCCGAGAAACTGTGTACATAGGGGGGTGGGGGTAATAAAAAAGGGGGGATGTGGCGGGAAAAACGCGCGGCAAAGCGGATGCCTGGCGGGTCTCTGCACCCGGCCGGTCCTGCACCTGTTCCCACTCGGCCCGGACCCTCCGGACTGGCAAATCCACCCGCGCAAACCACGTGGCTTTCCTCGCTAAGCCCCGCCCCAAGGCCCCCAAGCCCCGCCCCCTTCCCTGGCGCCCGCGCCAGACTTCTCCCGCGTGCGGCCCGCCCCTCCCCTCTGCCAAGCGCGCGCGCGCGCCAAGGCCTCGTAGCCACGCCTACCACGCCAGGTCCCGCCCACTACGCCCGGCGCTCCGCTCTTCTGCGCGCCGGCCTTGTCACTTGGCCCCGCCTCCCTCTCCTAGAAGCCACGCCTACGCTCCACCCTCCAATCAGACCCCGCCTCTTGTCTAGGCTCCGCCCCCTCGAGGTCCCGAGCGCCGGGCGGGCTGGCGGCTCGGCGCGGTGGGGCGGTGCTGAGGGCGGACGCGAGGCGGGCCGGGGCCCGGAGACGGCCGCTCAGCGGCTTCGGGGCCGGGCGAGGCGGGGCTTTGGCGGTGTCAGGGCGGGCTTCGAAGGCGGGTCGTGCCGGTTCCGCGCGCAGGGAGTTTTAAATGTCCCGCTCTGAGCCGGGCGCAGGAGCAGCCGGCGCGGCCGCCAGCGCGGTGTAGGGGGCAGGCGCGGATCCCGCCACCACCATCGCCACCACCAGCGTCCCCCTCGCCGCCCCCTCGCCGCCCTCGCCGCCTCCGCCGCCCAGCCCCGGCTCGTGCCTCCGTTTCCCGCGGACGTCGCTTCGGGTAAGGAGAGTGCTGGGGGCCGCCAGGCCCTGCCCGGGGCGTGGGGGGGGGAGCGGCGAGGCCGGCTCGCCGAGACTTGGGGGGCCGAGAACGGGGGGGTTCCCCGAGACCTCCAGCGCGGGGAGCCCCGACCCGGCGGCGAACTGTGTGTGTGGGGGGTGGTCCTGAAGGGGACACTGAGGCAGCGCGAGCCCCCCGGGAGGAGATGGGGTGCGGTGGGAGGTGAGGGGGGGGAGGACCCTCACCCCCCCCATCTCGACCTCGGACTTGGGGTCGTGGGCCGTACCGGAGGCGCCACGGGGGTGACAGGGCCACCCGGGGCCCCATCGGCCATTTTCCAAGGCGGGCCGGGCCAAGAGAGACTCCCGCCGCCACCCGCCCGCGCGGGAGGGGGGAGGGGAGAGGGAAGGACGGAGGAGGGGCGGGGCGGGCGGGGGCCCCGGTCCCCCCCACCCCAGGCTCTGCTCCTCATCCCGACGCTCCGTTCCCTCTCCCCCCCCTCACCCCGCTCCCCTGCCAGGCCTAAGGTCGGAGCCCCAACCCTGCGCCATGCCGAGGGAACTGAAGGAGAGGTGAGTGGTGGTGGCCTGTTTCCCCCCCCCCCGCGGGACGGGGAGTGGAGGTGGGCGGGCGAGGGGCCGGCTGAGATGGGGGAGCACTCATCGCCACCCCCCACCTCGGCTGTTACCCCAGCTTGTGCAGGGATGCCGATGCGCAGGACACCGTAAAAGAAGAAAGTAGCATCGAGTCCACTGCCCGCTCCAGAAAAAGAAAGGCAGATGTGGCCGTGGTGAGTTACAAAAGACACACAGGTGTGAGGGGGAGAGGGCCCCTCACCCCCTTCACCTTACCTGAGTACCAGACATGGGTCGCCCGTGCACACGTGGATTAGTGGGGACCGGTGGGGGGAGGGGAGCTCCCCGGGATAGAAATGATGTTCAGAACCTAATCAACTTCCCCCCCCCCCCTCCTTCTGTCTGTTGCCTTTCTTTTATTTTTTTTTCTTTTTGGTTTTTTGTCTTTGGGGGTTGGAATTTTCTTAGTTCCTGCAGGATCCAGATGAAGAAGTTGCCAAAATTGACAAGACTGTGAAAAAAAGCCAGTGTAACAGTCAGGTGGGTCAGGGGAGCTTTCCTGGGCCTGCCTGTGTGTGTAGTGGGGCCCACCTGGACCGTGCTGGGGGTTGAACTCGGCCTCACGCATGCTCTCTACTTGGCTTCTAGCTCAAGGCTATAGCAGTCTATCTCTTGAGCCACACCTCTGCTTCCAGCTTTTTGCTAGTTCATTGGAGACCAAAGTCTCATGGACATTTCCTTCTCGGGCTGTCTTTCAGCTGTGATCCTCAGCTCTCAGCCTCCTAAGGAACTGGGATTACAGTCACCAAGGCCAGGCTGCAACCCCTTGTGTTTCATAAACACATGAGATGTTTTGTCTTGGTACTTTTTGAATTTCTTCCCATCCCCTTTAGGTCAGATTTCATGCAACCTCTTCCCCTTTGTGGCTTTGACCATCCCCCCAGGCGACCAAGCAACTCCTTCCTTACCTTGACCAAGGCTGAGTCTCTTTAACCTGCTCCCAGTCAAAACCTTTCCCAGTGATTGAGTACATTTTTTTTTTTTTTGCCAGATCTCTGACACTGCAGTGTAATACTATCATAATATCAAAAGCGCCTTACAGAGAGAGTTGTTTTATCTCTCTGCCTCCAGAGATGGCTGGAGACTGTAGTTATGACTCTGGTAAAGGAGTAGCTTATCTCCAAACTAACTAGTCAGGCCTTTGGCCTTTATCACAGATAATGCTGAGCTGGAACAGAATCCGACCTCAGTGCTGTGGTCCCTAGGAAGTCAGCAATGGACAACACATGACTAGCAGCCAGGGACAGCTGGTCTGGTTGGGTGACGCACTACAGAGTTGACAGCCAGCCACATGGTGGGTGGTAGGTCCTGGAAATAAGAATTTCTGGGGAGATGCTATGCTGTGGGAGTCTGTCACAGACTTCCCAGCAGGCCTTGAACCACAGTCCTCAGATTTTGGCTTGCTGAGTAGCTAGGATTACAAGAGCCTGCCTTTCTACACATGTTGTAGACTAGATAGCTTGAAACTTTTTTTCCATCAATTTATACAGCCATGTCTTCACTCTTGGTAAAGACATAAGAACTTACTCAAGGCTACAGCAGAACCTTTTTAGCCTATTGACACAGAATTTTTGTCTAGAGGTATTTGTAACAGTTCAGCCCAGTGTATCACCTTTGAACTAGAAAGAAAAGTCATGCTAACTGCTTCATTGAGACCAGGTGGAATCTTGGTTTTTATCTTAGGCCATTTTTTCATTCTTGAAACAGGGAGTCTGTGCAGTCTGCCCTGAACGTACAATCCTCCTGCTTGGGCCTCTCAAGTCTGGGATTACAGGCAGATGCTACCATTCCTGGCTTTTTTTTTTTTTTTTTTTTTTCTGTTGTGGGGCTTGAACTCAGGGCCTAGACACTGTCCCTGAGCCTCTTTGTGCTCAAGGTTAATGCTCTACTACGTGAGCCATCATGCCACTTAGGCTATTCTTTTGTTGTTGTTGTTGGTTGTGGGGTTTGAACTCTGGGCCTGGGCTCTGTCCCTCAGCTCTTTAGCTCAAGGCTAGCACTCTACCACTTGAGCCAGAGCACCACTTCAGGTTTTCTGGTGGTTTATTGGAGATAAGAGTTTCACGGACTTTCCTGTCCAGGCTGGCTTTGAACTGCAATCCTCAGATCCCAGCTTCCTGAATTGTAGAATTACAGCCACCGACACCTGGACGCTTAGGCTATTCTTAATGAAGAGAATTCAGCAAGAGGTAGTTTTTTATTTTTGGCAGCCGTGGGTCTTGAACTCTGGGCTTGGACGCTATCCCTCAGCTCTTCAGCTCAAGGCCAGTGCTTCTACTGCTTGAGCCACAGTACCACTTCCGGTTTTCTAGTGGTGTATTGGAGATCAGAGTCTCACAGACTTGCCTGCCTGGGCTGGCTTTGAACCGTGATCCTCAGATCTCAGCCTCCTGAGTAGCTAGGATTACAGGCGTGAGCCACCAGTGCCCAGCAAGATAATTTTTGTTTGCAGTACTTGAGATTGAATCCAGATCTTTGAATGCCACTGAACTCAAGACCTAACGTTTTAAATTTGAAGCCGAATCTTAAATTTGTAGTTCTCAGAAGATTTTGCATAAGAAGAAAAAGCCCAAGGTAGGGAGACCCTGTCTAACACCTGTAATCCTAGCTATTCAGGAGGCTGAGATTTGAGGATCAAAGCCAGCCCACATCCATGAGACTATTTTCTCTCCAGTTAACCAGCTAAAAGTCAGAAGTAGAGCTTAAGTGGTAGAGCTCCTGTCTTGAGCAAAAAAGCTAAGTGCAAACACTCAGACCCTGAGTGCATGTCCCAGTACTGCCACCAAAGAGAAAAGTAACACAGGAGACATACTTATCAATCATCACAACCAATCTTTTAACAGCTAGCCCTTTTCTTCCTACGTAATGTCTGCAAGATGATCTTTTTGAAGGAAAGACTTCAGTTAGAGCATAGGTGGAACTGCATATACCCTGCCCTTTAAAAGATTAACTTTGTGGTTTACCTAATTTGTGTATGAACTATAGATTGGGGAGTGCAATAGTTTTGTTTTCTCTAGTGGCTTTCAAGATGTGCCTCCATCATCTGGCCTTGGAGGTCAGCACATGACTGTGCTTTTAGAACTTAAATGCACACTGTGGGTGTGTTTGTGTGGGTGTGTGTACTAGCACACATGCGTATGCTAGTACTGGCGCTTGAACTCAGGGCCTGGGTACTATCTTTGAACTTTTTGGTCAAGGTTGGTGCTCTGCCACTTAAGCCACAGCTCCACTTTAGACTTTTGTGTTAGTTAATTGGAGATAAAGAATTTCTCTGACTTTCCTGCCTGGATTGGCTTCAAGCCTGTTGGTCCTTAGACCTCAGCTTCCTGAGTGGCTGGGATGACAGGCATGAGCCATCGGCATCACCAGCTTGAGTTCACTCTTGAATGAAGAACAATTTAAAACACTGCTCACCAGCCCAGGGCACTCAAACTGAAAGGAAGTGGCTGTTCTCGATTTTCGGGCACAGCTGTTGGCAGGGATAGTCATAGATAATTTTCATGCCCAATTTGTGTACATCAGGTGCAGAGGAATTTTATCCAACTTTACTCTTCCCACTCCTGAACAGCATGTGGGCCTCTGAAGACGGTTTTGTGTGGGGCTGTTCTGTCTTAATAGCTTCTTACTATCTTAGTCCTTTGTGTGTGTGTGTGTGTATGTGTGTATGTCAGTATTGAGGCTTGAACTCAGAGGTCTCATGTTGTCCCTTAAAGGCTGACACTAGCTATACTATTTTTTTGTCCTGTCCTGGAGCTTGAACTCTGGGCCTGGGTGGTGTCCCTTGGCCTCTTTGTGCTCAAGGCACAAAGGCACTCTACCACTTGAGCCACAACGCCACTTCTGGTTTTCTGGTGGTTAATTGGAGATAAGAGTCTCACGGACTTTCCTGCGCAGGCTGGCTTTGAATCATGAGCCTCACATCTCAGCATCCTGAGTAGCTAGGATTACAGGCATGAGCCACCAGTGCCTGGCTTTTTTCTTTGTTTTTGGGTCTGGTCATGGGGCCTGAACTCTGGGCCTGGGCGCTGTCCCTTAGCTCTTCAGCTCAAAGCCAGTACTCTACCACTTGAGCCACAGCACCACTTCTGGCTTTTTTCTTTTTGCTTATGTGGTGCTAAGGAATCGAACCCAGGGCCTCATGTATGCAAGGCAAGCGCTCTATCACTGAGCCACCTTCCCAGCCCTTTTTTTAAATTATTATTTTAAAAGGGATTTTACTGCATAGATTCCCAAACTGTTAATAAGGGGACTGGAAACCCCAAGTGATCCCTGTGGGTTGTATTTACCTGTGTTATATGTCTGGGCCAGCCAGTCCTCTGCCTGCCGTGTTCATTTACAGATAATCAGTGAGTGTGAAATGAAGTGTTCCACAATAATTTCCTGTTTTAACAGCCTTGGGACAGTGATTCGGTTTGTGCAGACCCCTGCTCCTTGATTCCCACACCTGACAAAGAGGAGGATGAGGAGTCGTTGTTCCCCATTTCCATGTTCCAGCCTCGCAAGCGGTCACCACCCAGAGCTTCACCACTGCCTTTACTGAAGTAGGTGTGGGCTTTGCCACATGTATACACATGCATGGACACACAGTCATACACATTCTGTTGGCTCCTGGGCATGGATGGGCCTGATACCTGTCTGCAGGCCATTTGATTTTTCTACTGTTTTCCTATTGCCTTTTTTTCCCCCTCTGTAGCTGGGCGAATCGAGATGAAGTCTGGAACATTATGTTGAACAAGGAGCATGTGTATTTAAGGGACGAGCACTTTCTGCAGAGACACCCTCTCCTGCAGGCTAGAATGAGAACTGTTCTTCTGGATTGGCTGATGGAGGTGAGTTAGGGCCTTGTGGTTTCTAGAACCTTCTGTGCCATTACCATTTTAGCATGTGGTATGTGTGTGTGTCTGTACTGGAGCTTGAACTTGACCTCGGCTCTGTCTCTGAGCCTTTTGTTGTTGTTGTTAAAGGCCAGCACTCTACCAGTTGAGCCACAGCTCTTCCAACATTTTGCTTATTCACTGAAGATAAGATTCTCAGACTCCTGCCAAGGCTGTGTTTGAACCATGATTCTCTAGATCTCGGCTTCCTGAGTAGCTAGGATTACAGGTGTGAACCGTCGCTTGGCTTTTTTTTTCCCTTCAAGTACTGTTTTAAAGTATACTTATTATTTTTTTTCCAGGTGTGCGAAGTCTATAAGCTTCACAGGGAGACATTTTACTTGGCCCAAGACTTCTTTGATCGGTATATGGCAACACAAGAAAATATTGTGAAAACCCTTTTACAACTCATTGGGATCTCAGCCTTATTTATTGCTGCCAAACTAGAGGTAAGTGATGGTCATGTATGTTACACAGTAAGGGTTCATTTTTGAGCTCTAGAGAGATGAGAGAGGATGGCTAATTTGCCTATCATATATATTTTTTCTGTTTTCTTTTTTGTTGTTGTTAATCCTGGAGCTTGAACTTCGGCCTGGGCACTGGAACTCTACCACTTGAGTTCCACTTCCAGTTTTCTAGTGGTTCATTGGAGATAAGACTCCCTGATTTTCCTGCCCAGGCTGGCTTTGAACCACAATCCTCTGAGTAGCTAGGATTACTGGCACGAGCCACCAGCACCTGGCTATTTCTAATGAGAGGTCTTCTAAAGCCAAGATACATACAGAAAGTCCTAGGACCAACCTGGGAAGGTGGCTCAGTGGTAGAGTGTTTGCCTTGCATGCATGAGGCCCTGGGTTCAATTCCTCAGCACCACATAAGCAAAAGGAAAAAAGCTGGAAGTGGCACTGTGGCTCAAGAGGTAGAGTGCTAGCCTTGAGCTGAAGAGCTGAGGGACAGTGCCCAGGCCCAGAGTTCAGGCCCCACGACCGGACCCCCCCCCCAAAAAAAAAAAAAAAAGCTGAGGGACAGCGTCCAGGCCCCCATGATCAACAAAAAAAGAAAATCCTAGGACCTAACCAACCAAGAAAAAGGAATAAGAATACATTTAAGTTAATGTAGTACATTCAGCAAAAAGAAAACTGAATTCAGAATTACAGGGACTGGTGGCTCACACTTGCAAATTCTAGGTGCTCAGGAGGCTGAGATCTGAAATTTGGAGGATCACAGTTTAAACCCAGCCTAGGCAGGAAAGTCTATAAAGACTCTTATCTCACCAGCAAAAGACTGGAAGTTGAGATTGCACAAATGGTAGGGCACCAGTCATAAGCTTTTGGAAAAAAACTAAGGGATAGTGCCCAGGACCTGAGGTGAAGCCCAGTCCCCCCCAAAAATTTAGAAAGTATAAAGTTTCAGTTGGTACCAGGTATGGTTTATTCAAGTCTGTAGTCCAAGCACTCAGAAACAAGAGGCAGGAAGATTGCCAGTTCCAGGCCAGCCTGGGCAAAACAAAACCCTGTCTTTAAAAACTGCTATAACAAGCCTTAACTACCAGAAAACCGGAGGTGGCTGTGGCTCAAGTGCTAGCCTTTTAAAGAGCTGAGGGACAGCACCCAGGCCCAGAATTCAAACCCTATAACAGACAAAAAAAACCTGCTACAACAAAATATATTTAAATACTTCAATGCAGCTTTCAAATGTGTTAAATACTGAAAAGGTGAGATCTCAGTCTCCAAATAGCTGTGATTACAGATGTAAGCACTAGTACCCAGCCATGTGTTTTTTTTGTTTTTTGCCAGTCCTGGGGCTTGAACTCAGGGCCCGGGCACTATCCCTAATGCTTCTTTTTGTTCAAGGCTAGCGCTCTGCCACTTGAGCTACATACCACTTCCAGCCTTTTCTGTTTATGTGGTACTGAGGAATCAAACCTAGGGCTTTGTGCATGCTAGAAAAGCACTCTACTGCTAAGCCACATTCCCAGCCCCATGTTTTGTCTCTTTAGGGATGGGGGTTCATTTCTTAGATATGCTGATTCCATCTCCCTTGTACTCCCAGGAGATCTACCCTCCAAAGCTGCATCAGTTTGCTTACGTCACCGATGGCGCCTGCTCAGGAGATGAAATTCTTACCATGGAACTGGTGATTATGAAGGTAGTGTTTTTCTGGGGTTTTACGGTCTTTCTGGGACATGAAGCCAGGGCCTTGTGACTTTTTTCTTCTGTTTCATTGAAGATAAGATAGTCACAGATGTTCCTTTCCCAGCCTGGCTTCGACCCATGTTCCTCCATATCAGTCTCCGGGTGCTAGGTTGTGAGCTTGAGCTATCTCGGCAGTGTGGCTGTGTCCCAGACTCCTCTGCCATCAGTCTCTCTCCTGTCCTCCTGCAGGCCCTGAACTGGCGTTTGAGTCCTTTGACTGTCGTGTCCTGGCTAAACGTGTACATGCAGGTCGCGTTTCTGAACAACATGTGTGAGGTGCTGCTGCCTCAGTATCCGCAGCAGATCTTCATCCAGGTGGCTGAGGTCAGTAGTTCTCTTGCACTGGGGCCTCCCAACCCAACAGTTCCACTCCAGTAACAGGAACCCTGGGGTACCAGCATCTGTCTCAGGGTTTTCTCCCTGGTCCTCCCTAGCTCCTGGATCTCTGCATGCTGGATGTGGAATGCTTAGAATTTCCTTACGGGGTACTTGCCGCTGCTGCCTTGTTCCATTTCTCTTGCTCCGATTTGGTGGCGAAGGTTTCAGGTAAGGTGCTGCAATCCAGCCTTCTTCAAGGCGATCACTTTGGAAAACAGTGAGTGCAGCCTCGGGCTGAGCATGCACCATGTTTCTCATGGCAGGGTATCAGTGGGAGGATATCAAGAAATGTGCTGAATGGATGACACCATTCGCCGAGGTCTTCCAGGAGACGCCAAGCTGCAAGCTGAGGCACTTCCGGGGGATCCCATGTGAAGATGCCCATAATATCCAGACCCATGCCAACAGCTTGGACTTACTGGTCAGTACCCAGCCTACCAAGCCTCCTCGTCTCCAATCTCCTTACCCACACAGCCTTCTAGGCAGGATCCTGATCATCTGGAGTTTGGTTTTCCTCCTGTCTCCTCCTCACTCAACAACACATAGAAGGGCGCCGGCACTGGTGGCTCACTCTTGTCATCCTAGCCACTCAGGAGACTGAGAGATCTGAGGATCATGGTAAAAGCCAGCTTGGGTAGGAAAGCGTGAGACTCTTATCTCCAATTAAGCAGCAAAAGAGCTGGAATTGGAGCTGTGGCTCCAGTAGCAGACCCTCAGCCTTGACCACAAATGCCCAGGGACAGTTCATAAGGCCTGAGTTCAAGTTCCTGGGCCAACATACACACATTCAAAAGATATACATAAAAGGGCAGTACTTGTTCTAATAATCTTTAAGTTTACAAATTGTTTATTTACAGATTTGTTTTTAGGGTTTGTATTTGTTTTGGCAATAGGGCTTGAACTCTGGGCCAGGGCGCTGTCCCTCAGCTCTTCAACTCAAGGCTAGTGCTCTACCACTTGAGCCACAGCACCACTTCCAGTTTTCTAGTGGTTTATTGGCAAAGTCTCATGGACTTTGCTGCGCAGGCTGGCTTTGAACCATGATCCTCAGATCTCAGCCTCCTTAGCTAGAATTACAGGCATGAGCCACCAGGGCTTGGCTTAGTTTGGTTTTTTGCTTGAGGCTAATCCGCTACCATTTGAGTCACAGCTCTACTTGTAGTGTGTGTGTTTTGTTTGTTTGCCAGTCCTGGGGTTTGAGCTCAGGGCTTGGGCACTGTTCCTGAGTTTCTTTTGCTCAAGGCTAGCACACTTGAGCCACAGTACCACTTCCAGCTGTTTTTCTATTTATATGGTACTGAGGAATTGAACCCAAGGCTTCATGCATTCTGGGCAAGTACTCTACTACTAAGGTATATTCTCAGCCCCTAGTTGGTTTGGTTTTGTTTGGGGGTGAGTGGTTAATTAGAGATCAGAGTCTCACAGACTTTCTTGCTCTGACTGGCTTCAAACCCTGGTCCTCAGACCTCACTCAGCCTCTTGAGTAGCTAGGATTACAGATATGAGACACAACTGCCCAAATAGTTTCAGAGTTGGTTTTGGTTTTTGTTGCCATTACTGGGGCTTGAATTCAAATGCTATCCCCTTAGCGTTTTCACTCAAGGCTTTGCCCTTACCACTTGAGCAACACTTCCACTTGTGGCAAAATTTTTTGGTGATTCATTAAAGAACCACTGATTTATCTGCCTAGGCTGGCTTCAAACCTTGATCCTCGGCTCTCAGCCTATTTAATAGCTAGAATGACAGTTATGAGCCACCAAAACCCCTTTGAGTCCCAAATCTTTAGGCACAAGGTGTCCCTGTGAATTCTTTCCAATTAATTTACACAAATCAATTCTTAAAAAGCCATACCCTTGGGGTTGGAGGTATAGCTCAGGTCGTAGAGGACCAGCCAATGAATAGAAGTGTCAGGTATCATTCAAATTTTGGTCTGAGACCAAAAAACTAACATCCTTATTCCCTTATCTTCCTCCCCACCCCCAATCTACAGGAAAAAGCTCAGGCAAAGAAATCTGAATTGTCAGAACACCATAGATTGTCCCCTATCCCTCCTGGGCTCCTCACCCCTCCTCAGAGTATTAAAAAGCAGAGTGAGCTGGAGGAGGAGGAAGCCTGAAGCCCAGAATTGGCGTGTGGAAATGCCCGGATGTTCCCCTGCTGCCATTCAGCCTTTGCAGATACTCAGCGAGTGACAGCCCCCCTCCCACAGAAGTCTTGTGTGTGGATGACGTGGACCGGGGCAGCATCTTCTATGGAGTGCTTACACTTTTGAAACACGTGAGTCAAGGACAACAGCCACCTCCAGAACACCCGAGGGTGCTCCCCTTGCTGCTACGGATGGTGTCCTTGACCCACCTGACTCCCCGTGGAGGACTAAGGCTTGAAGTTAGAGCCCCCCTGCCCCATGGCCAGCGGGGTGGGGCGTGCCCCTTCACGTTGTCAGCCCAGTGTCCCTTGCCTTTATGAACTCTGGTTTTGTAATTGCTGCTATGTCTACCCATTTTTAATAAAGTGATACTATGTTTGAAACGTGTCTCTGTTCTCATTTTGTGTGTGTATGTGTGTGCATGTGCATTACCCAAATTTGAACTCAAGGCTTTATACTTACTCATTTGGTTTGACTGGTGTTCTACCTCTTGAGCCATACCTCCAGCCCTAAATACTATTTTTGGTGCCAGTTCTAGGGCTTGAACTTGGGGCCTAGGCACTGCCTCTGAGCTTCTGTTCAAGGCTAGTGCTCTACCACTTGAGCTACAGCTCTGCTTCTAGTTTTTTATTTTCAAGTAGTCTGTTGGAGATTAAGAATCTCATGGACTTCCTGCATAGGCTGGCTTTGACCTGTGATCCTCATATTTCAGCATCCTGAGTAGCTAGGATTACAGGCATGAGCCACCAGCACTCAGCTTAGAACTTTTTCTTTGTACTGGGCTTGAATTTGGTCTGGGTGCTGTCCCCGAGGTTTTTTTTTGTATAAGGTTAGAGTTCTACCATTTGAGCCACAGCTCTACTTTTCACTTTTTGCTGGTTACTTAGGAATAGCCAGCCTGCCTTTGAACGAGGATCCTCAGATCTCAGCCTCCTTCCTGAGTTGAGTAGCTGGTAGGAGTACAGGCTTGAGCCACCAGCACCCAAAGGCCTAGGTAAAAGTCAAAAATAGTCAACGTGGGCAATTCATGCCTGCAAATGCCTGCTTGGGAGGTAAGGTCAGAAGGATTGTGGTTTATGAGACCCTTTCTCAGCCAATGGCTGGGCAAGTTGGCATGTGTGTCATCTCAGCCATAAAGACCATCAGGAGGATAGATGTACCAGGTCAGTTGAGGCAAAAATAATTGAGACTCCTGTCTCTATGGAAGAAATTGAGTGTCATGGCGGTCAACTGTCACTCTAGCTGCTACAGAGAGTAAATAGTTAAGGCCCAGGCAAAAAACAACTATCTTGAAAGTAACCCTTGCAAAAAGGTCTGGAGACACAGCCTAGCTAGTACTTGTTAGCATATGTGAAGTCGTTCAAACACTAATACAAACCCCAAACTATCCATTTGTGTGTGTGTATATATATATATATTTTTTTTTTGAAAGCTCAACTCTTCCCCCAAATCTTCACCTAAGTAATAGATGGCCCAGATGAGCGCCTGTGGCTCATGCCTGTACTCCTACTGCTATAATCTTAGCTATTAGGAGACGGAAACAAGAAGATGTTTCAAAGCTAGTCCAGGCAGGAAAATGAGACTGTGATCTCCAATTAACTACCAAAAAGCCAGAATGGAGCTGTGGCTCAAGTGGTAGACTGCCAGCCTTGAGCAGAAGAGCCCTGAATGCCCAAGCTGAGTTCAAGCCCCCAGTACCTGGACACACCCGCAATGGCTCCAGCATCACCAAAAATAAAAAAGTTTATCTTTGGAGAATGTGTTAACATATAGAAATGTGGCTTAAGTGATGGAGTGCCTGGTTTGAGTAAAAAAGCTAAGGGATAGCACCTAAGCCCTGATTTCAAGCATACTAGCAAAAATTTTAGAAAGGAAGAAAGGGAAAAGAGAAAAAGAATCACTGGGGTAGAAGTTAGGGTGCCCTTCTAGAGGAGGGTACACCTCTCCCCAGCTCACTTCCTGGACCTTGCCGACTGAGTCTACTCTTGAATTGTTGCTCTTTGAACATTCTAGTCCTGAGTAGCAGGGCACTGGAGGTGCCTGAGGTCCATGTTCCCTTTGTGGGACTGTGATGGTTTATTCTTTCTCCATGAACCTCTGGTACCAAATGGGTAACTAAGTTACAGTCATGTTCAAGTGGACCAAGTTCTTGAGGCAGACAGGTAAAGACAGGAAGTGTGTGCATGCATGTGTGTACACACCAGTCCTGGAACTTGAACTCAAGGCCTTGGGGCTGTCCCTGAGCTTTTTTTGCTCAAGGCTAGTGTTCTTACACTTGCGCCTTACCTCTCATTCTGGTGGGGGTTTTTCTAGTGGTTCACTGGAGATAAGAATCTCACAAACTTTCTTACCCAAGCTGGGTTTGAACTGCAATCCTCAGATCTCAGCCTCCTGAGTAGCCAGGATGACAGATGTGAGCCAGGAACTTTCCATCGCCTGATATACTTCTATCCCTTAACTGAGACCCAAACAAGATTGGAGTATATTTGAGCAGAATTAGACAAGCGCTCTGCATGAAGATGGGAGAGAAATCGAATCTGATAACATCTCATCATATTTACCCAAGCGTGCATTTTCCCAGCACATGTCCACCATTTTTTTAAAATTCAAATCACATTTCTACCTTTGGACATTTGTTAGAAGACTATTTTTATCACAGCTGCAATCATCTAATTTGCTGATTACAGGTCTCAAATTGCCACCAAGCACTCAATTTTTTTTTGAAAAAATGGTCCTATTTGATCAAATATGTTATTCAAGCAATGCATTCATTTGTTATACACACTTACCTGCCAGACAGAGTTAACCAGGAGTAATAGTATTAGCTGTCTAGACTTAAAATCAAGCATTAGCTAATCTCCCAGAGACAATGGAGTCTTAAATGTAATTTGCGGCAGACACTTCAGTGCCAACCTTGATAGACAATTCTATTTTGTATTCAATGTGCATAGATTTTTTTTCTTTCCCCTCCTTCATCCTAATTCCAAATTTTACAGCAAGACTCTATAATGTGTTCAATTGCACTGGCCTACCAGGTACCCTAGGAGCAGAGAAAATGTATTCTTTGTGAACTAAACAATAGAAAGAAATAAAGAGCCAGGCTCATGCCTGTAATCCTAGCTGCTCAGGAGGCTGAGATCTGAGGATCATGGTTCTAAGCCAGCCTGGATAGGAAAATCTGTGAGATTCTTATCTTCAATGAGCCACCAGAAATCTGGAGGTGGAGCTATGGTTCAAAGTGGTAGAGAGCTAGGCTTGAGCAAAAGAGCTCAGGGACAGCACCCAGGCCCAGGGTTCAAGCCCCATCACTTATAATAAATAAATAGTACCAAATCCTCCTCCTTCCCCCACTATGTGCCAGTACTGGGATGTGAACTCAGGGCCTCACGTTCTTATTTGGCTTTTTCACTTAAGGCTGGCCATCTACTACTTGAGCCTTGCTTCATTTCCAGTACCTTGAGCAAAAGAAACTCAGGAACAATGCCCAGGTCCTGAGTTCAAGCCCCAGGACTGGCAAAAAAAAAATTTCTAGACCACTAGACACCTGCTTAGGACTCTGAAGGGAGGTTCAGTGTTAAAATGACTTTGTCACTTTTTTTTGACAGTCCTGGAGATTGAACTCAGGGTCTGGGTGTTGTCCCTAAGCTTTTGTACTGTACCATTCTAAGCCACAGCTCCACTTCCATATTTGTATGGTTACCTGGAGATAAGAGTCTCACAGACTTTCCTGCCTGGGCTGACTTTGAACCTTGATCCTCACACTGCAGCCTCCTGAGTAGCTAGGATGACAGATATGAGCCATGGGTGCCTGACTACTTCCTTCACTTTGACATAACCCTTTTCATGGGGTCTTTGCTGATTGTTGGGGACAGCTATCACTAGAGACAGCACACTTGGTGTGACTAGGGACTCCAGAAGTCTATACAAGTTGCTGGTGGTTCCTGGGCACAGAGGGCTAGGCAGTGAGCTCATTCAGAGTATTGGTGTGGCACACTGAGCTCACAGACAGGGTAGAATGGGTGGCAAAGACTGTGTCACAAGTTCTTGCATATCGGATCAAAGACAAGGCAGACATCGGTAGCTCATGCCTGTAATCCTAGCTATTCAGGAGGCTGAGATCAGAGGAGCACATTCAAAGACACTCTAATTAGACAAAACTGAGAGATTCTCATCTCCAAGGAACCAGCAAAAAAGCTAGGAGTGGAGAAGAATATGCTCAATGCTAGAGCATCAAGCCTGAGCAAAAAGCCAATTAAGAGTTCAAGTCTCAGAACCAGAAACAAACAAAAAGCAGGGTAAGGGAGGGAAGGGTGACACTGTCCAAAAAAAAAAAAAAAGAGAACTCTTAGCTGGGTGGCTCACGCCTGTCAGCTACTCAGGAGGCTGAGATCTGAGGATTGTGTTTGAAAGCCAGCCCAGGCAGGAAACTCCTTGTGAGACTCTTATTTCCAGTAAACTAGTCAGAAAAGCTGGAAATGGTGCTGTGGCTCAAGTGGTAGAGTGCTAGCCTTGAGCAAAAAGAGGCTCAGGGACAATGCCCAGCCTCATGAGCAGCACACACACACACACACACACACACACACACACGCACGCACACACACACACCGTCTTCCAGATGCTGGAAAAAGACTAGTTTGGGGTGTTTTCAGGTTTGCTGACTCCTTGACCCCCGTGGGACATACTCTCGCTCCCTGCCATGCAAAGGTGATACCATTTCCCCAGATGTGAGGGTGTACAGGGAGAATTGAGGCATCAGAGAAATCAGGCAGCCATACCCTTCCCTCTGGTCCTCCAGAGATCCTCTATTTCGACTTCTAGATGATCTGTGCTTTTACCCTCAGTCCATCTAAGGTAGATTGCTCAAGGCAATTGCTCAAGATGGGGCTGTTGAGATTCTAGAAGTATGACTCCTAAATGCCCCCTTCCTAAATCCAACAAAGAGTGCATCTCTGGAATCATCCTTAGTTGGCCTGGTGGGTGGCCTGGGTGAGGTGGGGCCCCTAGATAGGAGGCAACGTGAAACTCCGTGCAAGTCCCCCACTGGAAAGTGCAGGCCTGTTGTGCCCCTCTGTTGTGCATGGAACATGATCCTTGCTTCACACTTCCTCACAATACAGAATATGGAAGGGGTCAGCAGACAAATAATAAGTAGTGATGTAGCTCAGTGGTTATAGTGCTTGCTTAGCCTGTGTTATTGGGGTTCCTCCATCCCCACACGCATGGTACACACGCACACACACACACTCACGCCAGTACTATAGCTTGAACTCAGGGCCTAGGTGTTTGCTGTTCTTAGCTTTTTGTTTGTTTGTTTTTAATCAGTCATGGGGCTTGA